CAGACATGCTCAATCTGCAGCCTCACAGAGCAGACGTGATCAACCTGCAGCCTCACAGAGCAGACATGCTCAATCTGCAGCCTCACAGAGCAGACATGCTCAATCTGCAGCCTCACAGAGCAGACAGGCTCAACCTACAGCCTCACAGAGCAGACATGCTCAACCTGCAGCCTCACAGAGCAGACATGCTCAACCTACAGCCTCACAGCTGAGTGCAGCAAAAGGCACTTCAGGCGATAAGCATCTGGTTTTTAGAGATGAAACAAAATAATCCAGAGACTTTTAAATTTCTTCCCAAATATCATCTGATTATGTTAATTGAACTTGCTGTTATTAACTGAAGAAGGAAAATGTGTGTTGTAATATCCAGGAATATTGATTATGTAATCATAAATTTGAGGTTTATAATGTAACTTCCTCTGCTTTTATCTCTCAGAACCTCAGTTTTCTCATAAAGGGGAATAATTTAATTATAGGTTTAGGATAGATAGGATAAAAATGAGATTAAAACTACTAGCACTATGTCTAATCTAGTAACTACTTGATAAACATATATACATGCATGTATAGGCAGATATTAAGTCAGCTAAATTTTAATAGATAATAAATACTTGCAATATACCAACATAAAATGTCTTAACTTACTCAAGTTTTCTCTCAGTTATTTCACGTGTAAATGCAGGTTTTTGTATGTGGAGGATCACATGTGTGGATGCACATGCACATGTGTGAATGAGTATAAAGACCAAGGTGGACATTGAGAATCTGCCCCCATCACTCTCTACCCAACCCACTGAGTCAATTCAAATGAAGCCAGGGTATCTGGATAGTCACCTTGTTCCCCATCTCTGTCTTCTAAGTGTTGTGTTTACAAGCAAGCCACCATATCCACCTGGCATTTGGGTTCTGGAGAACTGAACACTGGTCCTCACATATGAATGGCAAGTACTTCACCCACTAAGCCAGCTCCCAGGTCATATTTCCTCTATTTCAAATTACAATTTTGATACAACAAATGTCATTTCTCTGTATAATAGAACTAACCAGAAAATATACAATTGAAACCTGGTTTTCAATATTTTACTTTTTAATAAAAATCTGAGATAGCCACACATCTTCCAAATTTCATTTCCTTTAACAATTAAATGAGGATGACAACATTGATCTTATAATACAGTTGGAAAGCTTAACTGAAGCACATATGAGGGTTACTATAAATATTTATTTGATGGATGTGTCTTAAAATGAATGCAAAAAGTTGGATATATACATACACACATATATACATATGCATATGTACATATATACAGGCATATATATCATTTGCTTCTTTCAGCTTTTAAATAATTTTGTTCAGCTTAGCAGACACACCTATAATGAGACTTACAAAATATAATGTATTGACTTGAGACAAACAGGCACGATGGACTTCTTATTCATAAATACTTAGCAAGCTCACTAACTAAATACATTGATTCATGCAACAAATATCTATTGACTATCTACTACATGACAGGAAAATCTAAGGAGCTTGAGCTTGGCTAATGAACAGGATTCAAAAGAGTTTCACTTAATAATTAGGGAAGAAAGGCAACACACTAGAAATACAACAAAACAGAAAATTACATTATAGTTTTGAAAGGAGTAAATATATAAAAATTAAAACATAGAGTCTAGAGGGATGACTCAGCAGATAAGATCATTGGTTACTCTTCCAGAGGACTGGGATTTGAGTCCCAGCACCCACATGGTGACTGACAATTACCTATAATTCTAGTTCCAAGGAATTTGATACCCTCTTCTGGCCTCCTCAGACACTGTACAGAAATACACACGAGTAGAACACCACACACATAAAATAAAGAAATCTTTTAAAAAATATCAAATAAAATAAGACTCTAAGCACAGTAAGAATAATAAGAATGAGATTGTAGGGCTATATTACATTTCAAATAAGTGGTTGGTGAGGATTCTTTGGGAAGGTAATTTATAGACAATAGCTTAAAGGAAGACAGGATGCTGACTGTGGTGGTATCCGTGCTATGTGTGTCTCAGACAGGGCTTACAGCACATCAAGGCTCTGGGACAAGAGGGCACCTGGCAATGCCAAATGAGATCAAAATGTCAAGAATCTCGGGAGAGGACTGTGGGTCACATGGTAAGTCCGGTGTGCTCCAATCGGACATCAACACTATGGAGCAAAAGAGATCCAGAGAGGGTTTGCATCAAGGGTGTGCTCTGCTCTGATAGTTTCTTTAGAGTTCTTCCTCTGAAGACTATGTTGAGAATAGGATGACCTGGAGTAAAGTGCAGAG